CCCTCCAAAAAAAAATAAAATAAAAAAATGAAAATAAAAGACAACACTTCAGTTGGATTTTTCACTTATGTAATGGGAGTGGAATTATTGCAGGTTTCATCGTATTCTACTTACATTGTGAGTCATTTTCTTCTTTTGTTGTTGTAATGAGTGAGAATTTCTGAAAGAAAGTAAGAACAGAGAAAAAGAAAAAGAAACTGAGAGCAGAGAAAAAGGAAACAATTACAGCATAACGGATGAAAATAAATGGAGGAGGGACTTAGATTCACATCCAAAGGAGATGGGATACAGCTTGACAGAGGTACATGAATAGCTCTTGTTGGTGGCATTTACTTCAGTACAGGGTGAGAAAGACTAATGAGGATGATAAACCTTCATATTATTATCCTCACTCATTTCGACGATCATCTTTACCTTAACAGCAAAAAGAAATATACACATGCTTCTATTTTTCTGTATGCCTTTTCTCAGGTCCAAGGAGAAGGAAGAGCGGCTCAGCTTGGCCTCAAGCTCTGCCAGGCTTGTTGAGGCCTTGACCGACCCAATGTGAGTGGACTCTTGTGTTCAGGGGACTGGTGCTGGAGGATGCTCCAACTGCCGTTCCGTGTTATTTTATTTTTTAGAATTTTTTTTATTCACGAGCATGTTGATGGTTTCAGGAACAAATGAACATTTTCTATAAACCTAGTTTCTTTGTTATTTTAACACATTGTTGAGGAGAAAAGTGGTTGTAGACAAGTGGGTGTCTTGGACCACTGGCAAGTAGACTGTCTTTGTTTTTTATTTTTCTTCCTTTTATTTTCTATGCAGAACTTGCTGCTGTTAAAGCAGATATGGTCGGTTTTAATGACAAGCGGGTTAACACAGGTTTCGGTGGTTTCCAGAAATCTTGACCTACACCACAAGTGGGCATTGCCCTACCTATAGGAGAAGTTTGGTTTCAGTGGTGTGTATGTTTGTTTGGTTATAGAGAAAACTCTCCTTGTCTTTTAAAGAAACTGAACATGGGGCAAAAACTTTACTTTCGATTTTTTCAAAACGGCATCTTTTGGGATTGCCCCCTTGTGCTTAAAAGCGACCATATGACAGCAGATTTATTTTTCAGGATTTTCAATTATTGATTATTCCCCACTTTTTAAAAAGCTATACACACACACACACACACACACACACACA